CCCTCGCATATCAGATCGAGAGAATATACTGTGGAGAACTCACAAGATTGTTACCGTGTAAAAGTGTAAGAAACGTTGAAACACACTAAGTCCATGGATTGTTTCAGTACCTGTCCGTACATTCACCATACTTCGCGCAACGACTTGCAACACCCACTACTAGACAGAACAGTGCTTCGCTTGCCGATCACACTTCAGAAGTGGACGATATGAGCGATTACGATGTGATGAGCTTGAAGTTCGTCAGTTTCCGTAACCACAAGAAACAGTTGTCGCCTTATTGACAGCTGAACTGCACCCGGCAATGCAGTATTGTACTTTTTCAGGAGCGATTTGACGGCTGGAGCTGTCAAAACGATCCGGTCACAGACGTTCAGTTCCAACAACATTCTGTTGAATGGTAACTTATTTTCCCATATATTCGATTTTAAATCGCAGCTTCGGTTTGAAGTGGTTTCTGAGATTCTTGGTTGCGGTAGTAGTGGTTGGAGAAGGTACAGTCGTGTTCGTGTGAGAAGGTAAATAGAAGGTACAGTGGATAGTGGAGCCTTAAGGGGGATGGGCTTGGCGCAGCAACAGCTCCTTTTTTTCCTTTTTTTTACTTTAGGGAAGCGACTGTATCCCATCGTTCGTACCAGTTGTTGCCCACCAATTATTGTCGTTTGCTCGCTTAGGCCGTCGGAGAAAAACGAGCTGGCCGGCGCGCCAATCTCAACTTCTCAGACACGCCCCAGCGCCTGCAGTGAAAACAGCTGCATGGGATTTGTGTAGTAGAGAAAAAAAGAAGCAGTGGTTGTGTATTCCCGTGCCGACTCTTCCTTCTACTTACCTCTCTGCCTCCCTTTTACCCGCAACTTCGTAAAGATCGTTGCGCTCGCGGGCAGTCACGCCCCCCCCCCCCTGTCACCCTCAGAAATGGACTCTGTCCACTACCTGCCTTACACAAGCGTGCAAACTTTTGAGAACTGGTGATCGCTGGAGTGGCTGGATTAGTGCAGTAAATATACAGTCTTGTTTTCCGCGGCTCCTGGGGTGTCAGGGGAGAGGAAAGGCCGGACCCTGCCAGCCCATTTTCCACCAATTATTGTCTCTTGCTCGCTTCATCAGTTGGTCGAGAGCGAAGTGGCGCCGCATGAAACCCAGTCCACACCATCCACAGCGACCGAGACTATTCTCCTGGGAAGTGTTCGGATTATTTGAGCTGTTTCCGCTGAAGCAAAGTTACAGATGGTTATACTAGTTACGAGGATTCCCACTACCTTGCTTCGCTAGCCTGAAGTACGCTTAGCATTTTCGTGCTCTGGTTCCGGCTAGTAGTAGAGGCGGTCGAATTCCCTCAGTTCTAGTTCAAGGGCTTTTAATCCACACAGCACCCGATAACTTTAGAATGAGGTAATTGGCATAAAGTGAGTTCAGCAGGCAACGACGGATCATCTGATGCAGGCGATGGAATATTTACACTTGACGATGTGGAACTTGAAGACTTCCTTGTATTCCTCAACGCGATTTATCCGCCTGGCATTACAATAACAAGTGAGTGTTTGGGAACAATAATTTTGACCCAAAAAATTGTTTCCGTTTTGTTCATGTGCAGACGTGCTCATCGATTTTTTTTGAGGTATCGAAATAAATTGCAATTTTTAGGGGGGAGGGGATGTGGTGGGCTCAAAAAGATAGCTTAGTTTCCGTTTTGCTGGCATCCTTTAACATGAGCTAGATGGTTCGCAGATTCTCTCTTTGTGGCCTTATGAGGTCAGGTCCCTGATAAACAAACCTTTTTATGGAGTCAAATAACTTCCTTTGCTACGCCGTGACGAATAGGTCTCAGTATTCAAATTGTCAATATTCTTCTCCTTCAGAAGAAACGCTCCCTCCTCTGATCTCTACTTCCTATCAATTTGGAGTCGACCATATTCTGTGGAGATGTGAAGATTACTTATTGTCGGACAAAGGATTATCCGAGTTTGACTTAATAACAAGACTGGAATATGCGAGTTTATACAAAATGGCGACTTTACAGGTGAGCGTATTTCACTGAACTCATATATTTGCAATAGTTCGAATGTTGGTCGATGCTGAATGTGGTAAATGATATGGGAACAGTTCAGAGTAAATGAATCTGGGGAAAGAAGTTTTGGGTTTCCTGAAGGAACCGTCGCAGTAAGAAAATTGGCTTGAAATCAGAAATGGCCGAGGCTGTAAGAGCTGTTTGAGAGAGCACTGTCACGTAAATAGCGCCAGCTTTGATAATCGAAAATGGTCGCTGTGAATGACAGTCGATACCATGCAAAGATCCATTGTTGTGTGAAGATTGGGCGTTTTTGGCATCTCACGGAAAATCAACTGGAAGCTGCGATTGTGTACTCGAGCAGGAAGTTTCCACAGGATTATACTGATGATCTGTTTTACCGTAATTTTACCATGCGTGAAATCAAAAGCGTCGATACCGTGAATGCATGCAATACCTACACCATACGCCAAAGCATCATTGCTACCATGACTTAGACTGTGAGAAGGAAGAGGAGTAGCTTCGCAACCATTTGCAAGCCTCACTCTGGAGCGGAGGCGGCGGGGTACAGGGGGAACGTGTGATAATCAGACTGTGCCAAGGGAGCAAGCCTTGTTGGATGCTTCTCAGAGGGAGGTGGGCTTGGTTTGGCGCGGCGCCAGCTTGATCCCCGATAATTGTGGTCGCCTGCCAGATTTCACAATCCACGATGACACAGAAAATGGAAATTTTGACAAACACCAGATTGTGAGGATTGCGGTAAATCGCGTTAACAATCTTAGCTTATTATCATGTGAAGTTTACAGCGAAATGCGACTTGCTCCACTTTCACTTACAGAAGCAAAGTTTTTCCCGTCAGTGACCGAATTCCAGGCTGATTGTCTCAAAAAATTGCCCTCTGCGCAAAGCGTACGAGAGGTGCTGGAAGATCCAAGAATGGAGAACGCTCTTGGTGACGTCCGATCGTTGCTTCTAGAAACCCTACTTCAGCGTTTGAAGACTGACTCGGTTGTTGCTAAAGGTGAACATTTTCAGATCACATTACTTCGTTCATTGCATGATTCGATTTTGAATAATTTCGATTCTTCGCCTAATTTCAAAATTGTTTTATTCAAGATTCGAGGTCCATTGAACAGATGTCAAAATTGGAGAAGCGGACGGATGCTCCTAAACTAGAGGAGTCTGTCCCCTCTGTATCGAATCTTGAAGAGGTCTGTTTATTGGTTAGACGACTATGGCACATTTGCTTTCCTTCCGGGGAAGAGGGGAGCGGATATTCTAGTTCAGATGATGCAAACAAGCGGCGCAGATGGGCATGACGGGATTTTTTATCTTCATATAATACAAATTAGAAGAAAAAAAAAAGAAATGAGGAAATACAGAAAAGGGTTAAATCCGATTCAACAAGGAAAAACCGCTGAGGCGGGAGTTTACTTCAAAGAATGGGATTGCACAGCGCCACGCCCGTTTCACAGCCGTTGGATCTGCTTACCCAGCTTCCGCAATTGAGTGAGGCTGGACGATCATATAAAACTCCCACAAATTTTTCCCTTTATTTGACACGCTTCCAGCATCCGCCTGCGAGGAGACTAAGCCATCGACTGGTTCTTTACAATCTGCGGAAAAACAATTTTCTGCGACCTTTCCTGCCAACCTTTTATCTTAATGAGCTTTAGTAGACTCTGTGTAAAGGTATATTTCTTTGTAAAAGCTGCATCTAATCAGTAGCGTTACCAATCATACACTGGTGTGCAAAACTTAGCGACGAAAGCAACTTTCGATCACTGTGCCTCTGCCAGGACAACATAGCTCGATGAAATTCATATCATATCAAGAGAGAACCTTAACGATATTGTACAGAAAGCAACTGACAGAAACTCGGAATAAGACGAATTGTTATGACATTTTTATTCAACCATGTCGATTACACATAAGTCTTCACGATTTATCCTGGTACTACAAAAAAGAAGTTACACGGATCCTAATAGGCTTGGTGTTGATCACGCGACAGCAATACATGCTCTGCACCGCGATCCCATACTCTCCACGAGGTTGGTAATGAGTTCCTGGGGCAGGGCATTCCACTCCTCAATCAGTGCATTTGACAATTGCTGGATCGTCATTGGTGCATTTGGTCGTGCTGCAATGCGTCTACCCAGTGCATCCCACACGTGCTCGATGGGATTTAGGTCGGGGAACGGGCGGGCCACTCCATTCGCCGGATATCCTCTCGTTCTAGAAGCTCCTCCACCTGTGCTGTTCGATGCGGTCGCGCATTGTCATCCATGAAAATGAAGTCAGGGCCGATTGCAGCTCTGAAAAGGACGACATCGATGTAGGAGAAAACCTGCGTCGCAATTAAACGCTGACTGGTGAGGGTTCCATGCTCAAAATCTGGAGGTCAGTACGGCCATGCAACATGATGCCTCCCCATACCATTGACACCTCGACCACCAGTACGATCACCTTCGACAATGTTGGGAGTTGCGTGTGTCCCACCTCTCGCCATATGAGGTGCGTCCAGAATCACTGCTCAGACTGAACCTGCTCTCATCCGAAAAGAGCACACGGCTCCATTCCTCATCGTCCATTCGCCATGCTCCTGGCACCACCGTAAACGGTCTCGCCGATGCGCGGGGGTCAAAGGAACACAACGTAACGGTCGTCGTGCGAAGAGGCCACCACCATGCAGTTGTCTTGCCACTGTAATGCGTGAGATGGCTTACCGTAGGGTCCTGTTGGAACGTCGTTGCCAATAGCCGATAAAGCGACTTGACCGAGGATCTCTCTTCTTCACATCTGCACAATGTAGCCGTGGTCGTCCTGGCAAACCTCCTCGTTTCATATGCAGCAGTACAAAGCGTTCGGAGACGTCTCGCATGCAGCGTGAAACAAGCTGTGCAGCGATACCGAAGTTGTGGGTACAGTTCGTCATGGTTTCGACCTTCCTTCCGGCGCTTCCTATGAATCCTTCCTCGACTGAAGGTCACTCCAGACTGCTCTCCTTCGGTTACCATGATGGTATCGAAGGATACCTACTACAGTTCTTTGCAGCTACTGTTGATTCGGAGAAAATTTTTTCATACCATTAGAGTCCTCGATTTTGCGCGGGTCGGCCATATTTGGCACTTTATTCAAGCTCTTCTTCCACCGAGAAAAGTCTAGCTTCCTGTGCATATCCCTTAGGCGAGTGGCAACATGCTCCCACACTTTCATTTACTTCCACCCAGTCATTAGTTTATGTTACTTTATCCATCTCGTCCCTAAGTTTTTGCACACCATTGTACTTTTTTGTGTTTTCAGCCGTTGGCTCTGCCAGATGACGAACATATGTACGCCCACAGAGCCAGCTGAGGTGTTTCCGCACATTTCTGGCCACCAGGTACCACCCAGACACGGTCAGGACAGGATCGGCTATATGCCATTTTCAGCTTAAACAACTGATGCCACTTCATGAAGGAAGGGAAGGGGTGGCGGGAGTCTGCAGTGTATCTATTCTGACCTCTAATTTTACTTACAGCAAGAGTTACGGACCTTCAGCTTACGTTATTCCTATCTACTTTTCCATAGAATGTCATCGCTGTCATGGAATAATTTGTTTTTTTTTTCTCTCCTTGGCCCTCATAACTGACATTCAGGACACATCTTATATTGGGGATAGCCAGCGAGGTGGGTCGCTTGGAGAGAGGATATAAATAGTCGGCGCTATTGAGCCCGACCCGTCCTTGTTCAGACGACAGTCCCTTTTGGGTGGGTAGTGGAGACATACATCAAAAAAAAAACTTCGGCGAAAATAGTGTAAAGTTGGAAAGTTTAGGAAGATTGTTAGTATTTAGGTTAGTGTCCGGAAAGTTCTTAGCGTTTTGTGCACCTAATTTTGTACATTCACTGCTGATTAAAAACTCATTCTGCCTTACTTCTCAGTAGCACATCCTGTAGAGAATTTCTTGCGCTATCTGATGGTATAATTGCCATTTCACCATTGCCTTAATAAACCCCCTTTTTCCAAGATTTTTTCAAGCATGTGAAAAGAGCACTTCGGACGATTTTTTCTTCGACTATATAAATTCGGGCAAATCCGGCTTCAATACGACAAAAACAGCTCAACAAATTAACCAGGTGTGAGGGCCCAATAGTGCTAGAGAAAGCACTGTGCGGCAATGGCTCTGAAATATTTCGTTCTGGAGATTTCAGCCTTGAAAGATGAACCTCATAGCGGTCGACCTAAAGCAATATCTGACGAGGATTTTAGGGGGATTTTCGGAGGCTGACCCATCCCAAACAGTTCGAGAGATAGCAGAAGAGCTAGGCCTTAGCAAATTCACTGTTGCAGATGGTCTGGAACGCATCGGGAAAGTGAAAAAACTCGACAATTGGGTGCCCCACAATCGGAGTGACCGGCAGGAATCGGCACGTCTCGAGGTTCCTTCTTCACTGCTTTTGCGCAACAGAAACGACCTGTTTTTGGACCGAATTGTCACCTGTGATAAAAATGGGTCATGCTACTCGATAACAGGGACACGGTCCAGGACAGTGGTTGAATTTGAGAACCACCGTGGGTAATTTTCAAGCCGACCCTTAGCGAAAAAAAGATCCTGGTCACGGCTTGGTGGTCATCGGCTGGTGTGATCCACTATAACATTTTGTCACCAGGCCAAACCATCACAGCAGAGTCCTACTGTGAAGAAATTGATGAAATGTACCGAAAATTTTGTCAGATGCAGCCAACACTTTCAAAAGAAAGGGTCCGATTCCTTTGCATGACAACGCCCGCCCACACGTTTCACAAATCACTATCCATAAATTGAACGAATTGGGGGTTGAAGTTCTACCTCAACCGCCATATTCTCCAGACCTTCCACCAACCGAATATTCCCTTTTGGAACATTTTCAGAACTTCCTTGCTGGGAAATACTTCATCAAACAGGACCAGGCAAAAAAGCCTTCGTGGATTTCGTGAATTTTTGACCACCCAGTTTTTTACTTTGATGGGATTTCTCGACTGCTGTCACATTGGCAAAAGTGTGCTGATTCGAATGGTGCCTATTTCGATCAAATCCGATGAGTATGAAAAAAGTTACGATCGTTTGAAGTGAAACACCCAAAACGCTAAGAACTTTCCGGACAAGCACTAATAGTATGGGGGATGGAGAACGGGACAGTCCATCTGAGGAGGAAATTCTGAAGGGGAGGTGTTATCAGCATATATCATGGGGCACACAATTTGACGTTCATGCCGCTTAAGAGAAAATAGTTTTCCTGGGGTTTTCACTTTTTCTTCACTTCACTTTTCACCCAGAGTCAGAACTTCATTCTATCTAGGTTCTTTGAGATTTTCTACACCGGGTGGCAATCATGGTGTGTCACAAGTTTTCTGCTCTATGCGGCCTAAGCGTGGGTGCACACATGCAGACTAATGCAGATATTGAACAAGGCCGCGAATCAGGCATGAACACGCGAAGTCGCGGTGCGGAATGTAAAGTTGATATCATCGCAGTCAATTGAGGTAGGGTCAGCGTGGGATGATGCCACTTCTAATCGCGTTTCCTACCACTAATTTTCGGTCATGATGAGAAAAACAGTTGTTGAAAACGCTGTGGATGGGCTTATTCCATGCCTCACGATACCGCTCTGACTGACTGCGACAGTATCAACTGTACTGACTCTTATTTGGCTGGTAAACCCTTATACAGAGTGGTTGCAGTTTGCTATAACCGCCTGCTAAGCGATGGTTCACTCCTTTTCCACAACCTCAGCACAGGATTATATTTTACGAATAGTCTTTCAATAGGGCAAACAAACATAAGTGAAATCCCCTAACGGAAGAAAGTCCAACAGCTTTACGTGAAAGACTTAATAAGGAGATGGCGTTGCGAAAGAATTTGGAACTGACATTGAAGGTGTGTGACTGTTTTTGTCTCCTCTTTTGGAGCACTTGTGATAAAGGCTATAAGCATTGCTAACCTTCAATTATACATTTCATTTGTGAGGGTTTTACAGTGTACGCGAGAGTTTATTCGTCAAACAAATGCAGCTCAGAACTCAGACGTGGAAACGGCAATACTTCCCATGCCGGACGCACGCAGAGTGCAGCCTGAAGTAGGTTCCTCTAGGAAATTTTAGGGTTACATCTGGCACTGTACTTTATCCCACCCGATTGGTCCGCATGTTGCACTCAAGCACATCGTCGCACGATGGGAAATGAGAAAAAAAGAAGATCTTTCCTGATACCCCGTTATTTTCATTGTCGCAAACAACCTCGGCTATTGAAAGCAGGAGATTTCGTTGTGCAGCTCAAAATTTACCACAAATCTGCTTTGGGGAGAACATTACCCAAGGGTAGGGAAGCTCAACGAAAGTGAAGCCCAGACACGTTGAGCGAGGTTGTCAACTGGTGTTTTTTTTGCCTGTCGCAGGGATAACTTGGTGTTTGGATTTTTAGTGCTGAGAAAGATGAATACTAGGGAACTTGTTATTAAGAAAGGAAGGTTGTCTATTCGATATTCACTTCATGATACGCATTAATTCTCTACGACAAAAGTAATTTCTAGACAATTCCTACAGTGCAAGAAATTCCTCGTGTTCCACCTCATGCACTGCCGATGAACAATAATTATGTCAAGGTATCAGTCTTTATATTCAGCGATCAGCTTTTTCCTCTTTTCAGACAGAACAAATGTGCCCTTTAGAAACTGGTTTTTGATACATTTGATGCGAGCAAGCTGGATAAATTAAAGAGGATCGCTGTACAAGATCGTGATGGAGAACAGATGTATTCAATGCATGAAGTTTTCAATGATATTATGCTGGAACCTTTTGCATCATTGGAGTGTGTGACATACTCTTTTGTCTGCCACTTTTATATCAAGGTAGGTCTCTTCAAATAATATTACTCAAGGCACATTCGACGTTAATCAGGTGGGCGGAGACTCGCGATCATTATTGTTTCTTGGTTGTGCGTTCCTGCTCTCCACCCTTTTGGAAGAGTGGTAGCTCAA